GATGGAGCACATTCACAGTCTCTCCCCCGAATACTGGATGTGATCTCAGCTCATGTGCGTCACGCGGCGCCTTCCTCCCAGCCTGAGCGCCCTTAGCGTTACGCGCACTGACCGCCATCCTCCGCGGACCGACCGCCACCACCAACCCTCCCTGTAACCGCTCTTTGTGACCCCGCGGTGTTGTGGGGCCCGGGGCCCTTCCTTCGCTCTCAGGGACGCCTGGCAGCAGTTGGCTGTTGCCAGTCGGCCTCCCCTAAATTTTGTTGTTGTTTCTTTGAGAGGGCGGCGGGCCAAAGTAGCACGAGCACGAGGTGAGCGTACAAACTCCATGCATCTGAGAAGATGAGAAGAGAAGGCTCAGCCGTGGTGCTGACCTCTCGGTGTGACACCGCGCCGTAAATTAAGCATACGTGCAGCACACATAAGCGGCGCAGATCCGCCTCGGGGAAAGATGCCTACCCCCGACGCACACACCTCGCACCAGGCCGACCTGCATATTGGGTGAGGCAACTACAAACTCTCTGCGCGGTGCTACGACGTCATCTGACGCACCGAAAACCGCACCACCAACGCAACACACAGCAGCGGCTCATGCACAGGACCGCCGCATGACTTTGTGCAGCAACAGCTGTTATAGGACAAACGCCACACCCGGCACCGCATTCTACACACCGCCGACCCCGCACAATGCGTCCTCCGCCCACACATACAGCACGCCACTATGCAAAACATTGACACGGGCCATGCGTTTTCCCGCCGTTCACCTGCAGCACTGGTGGTCAACGTACGAGGTGTTGGGGGCCACAGCTGTGGAAACCTGACAACACCAGGACCCATCTCCTTGTAGCGTTGGGCAGGTGCCCCGGTATCATTATTATTATACAGGATTTATATAGCGCCAACAGTTTGCGCAGCGCTTTACAATATAAGGAAGACATTACAATCACAATACAATTCAAGACAAGATGGTAAGGAGGGCCCTGCCCCTGAGGGCCCACAATCTAAAAGGGAGGGGCCAGTGATACATGAGGAGGTAGCTGTGTGGGGATGAATTATTAGAGAATGTGATGGTTCAGTGGTTAGGTTGAGGTAGGATATGGGTTGGTTAGGTTGAGGTGGGGTATGGGTTGGTTAGGTTGAGGTGGGATATGGGTTGGTTAGGTTGAGGTGGGATATGGGTTGGTTAGGTTGAGGTGGGTGGTATGCGTCACCATGCGTTTCCTTTCTGCATTGACACGTTTCCAGTGCATTACTGCCAGAGATCATTATAGCCCTTTACAAAGCAATGCTTCCATACTGTGCTGGGGACCAAGGGCCACACAACAAGGTCCACATGTGGCCCTCAGGTTGAGCTGAGACATTCTTATCACTGACCACCAATGTTGGGAGGACATTCTCACGAGGCTGGTACATCTTCCCACTGCACTCACTTACATTGCACCTCCACTTACCCCACACAGGACCCTCGCCATACCCGGAACCACTTATTCCAACCCAGTTTCTTTATTCTAGAGTTCTAGAAAGCCCGCCAGGTGTGCCTGAGACCCACACGGTGGCCCCATGAGAACCCCTCACCGCTCTCCCCTCATCTTATTGGCCCCCATCCCTTTGGTAAAGCAGGACTCCAGACAAAAGATCAAAAGGAATAGCCGATCAAAACATAAAATACCAAAAACAGCTTCAGTTTCAGTGCAGAGATTTCCCAGCAGATTTTTTTTTTTTCCTGCCACTAGATGTTCGACGTCTGATGGCCAACACACGATCCTCTGAGCCCAGGTCGTCATTGACCCGCCGCCCCCCCAAGCCTGTGACTGGACAGTAAAAGGAGAAGCAGCACAGTCACCCTGCTCTCTCCTCATATTAGCATGCTTCCAGGCAGCACACGCACTGATTGGCTCCTTGTGCTGCTTCTATCTTTGGCACCCCATGCCCTGCTGTACTGGCAGTGCAACGCCGGGTCCCGTTCAGGCACTTACGCCGCCTGCGTCCAGGACGTACAATTGAATGACTTATTAATGACGGCAGAGCTGCATGAATATTATATCCGCCCGGAGTCCAGCTTTAAGCTCATGTTTTTTTAATGGCCCCCGGATCCCGGCATCGCGCCGCTCTCTCCCCGAGCCGAGGCTCAGCTGCCTGCACTTTTATCATCGCGCACACTAATTGGTCACAGGAAGGAGATCCTGGACTCCATTACAGCAGCAGCAGCGTGACACAGATCCGCTCGCTGCTCGCACTGCCTGCCTGCCTGCTGCACCCGATCCTGTGTTTGCACTACAAATATTACGTAAACCCCTCACTGGAAAGAGGGGGGGGGTGCGCTTTAGTAGGGATCGTGCAAAGGAATAGTCGGCGGAGCGTTGGATCCCTCCAACCTCCAGCCAAACAAGCGGACTTAGACACGTTCCTTTCACTGC